AAAGTGTTGGTGAGGTGGAGGGACGTGTAAGTGATTTTGTCAGTCCAGTGGAAAGGTTTGGCTCAGTCGATGTTACTTTCCTCCAACTGCTTTTATCTTCCCTGTCGTATAGATAGATTTCTGGTTGTTATCCAACTCTACAGAAATTTTTATCATTTGAGCAAATTCATCTTACGAAGCGATAGCAAGGTTTTTTTTATTATACACGAATTACTAAGGATATTGTCACAAACGTACCAATGCGGTTTTAAAGCAGTTAATACGATCATTATTATCCAAGTTTTTTTTTTTTAGATTTTTGTGCCTAATTTATTTGATTACCTTTACTTAATATTATTTGATAACTTACTGATGTTTATTTCGATCTGACTCGGCCTCTAAGAAAAGCAGTTTTTTTTTCTATTTTAGATGATATACTCAGCCGGTGGCTATCTGCGTTACTCCCTTAGCAACTTTGAGGCATACAATCGCGCCACTGACACTTGGCGTCGATTGCCCGATCTTCCCAGTCCACGAAGCGGTTTGGCAGCGGCTTCGGTGCGTGGTTGCGTCTACCTTGTGGGTGGACGAAACAACAACAATGAGCAAAGCAAAGTTGACGCGCCACATATGGACTGCTATGATCCCACTACCAACCGGTGGCACACCTGTGCCCCCATGTCTGTGCCTCGAAATCGTGTGGCAGTTGGAGTGGTTGATGACATGATCTACGCTATTGGTGGTCTGACCCATACCATGCATCATAGAACTGCAGAGAAGTGAGTGCCAGAGATTTTGCTTGTCTTAAAAATTGTAATAAAGCAGGCTTTTAGTTCAGTTACTGATTCAGTACATCGGTTTGTGCTATCAAATTTGCTAAATGAGCATTGGTTTGAATCCTTTTTGGCGGTCACGTAATTTTCTATGGGTAAAGATTCATTTAATTTATTATTTGATACCTTTTGCCTTCCCTTTTTTTACATAATTGTCTATGTTTGTCTCTGAGTAACTTTACTGTTCTGCTTTTTGGTTTTTTACCATGGCGATTTGGCTAAAATTATATTTGATCAATTTTGTTTGGTAACACACGATCTGCTGGTG